TCAGAATTTTCTCACTGCGCTGCACTAGTATACACGTGCAATCCTCATATATGCTACAGCTCGAGATTCCGAACAGCTTGAAAATTACTGTCTTCGGCAAAGTTGTTTAGGCGATCAAAGCTTTTTATGCGGCGCTAGTGTGCATGTAAAATATTTGTATATGCTATAGCTTAAGGTCAAGAAGTAACTGTTATCGTCAAAGTTGTACATGCGGCAAAGTTCTTCCGGATGGTGAGCATGCAAATGTGTTTTGTTCAAAGCTCTCTCATTTTACGTCCAATTTTTGATCTCCTTAGGTTATTTGAATGGTATGAATGGTATAGTATAAGGGTTCTACTACTTCTTTTAATTTTAATTTTTTTTTCAAGTCAATTCTGAGAAAATCAATCATGATTCTTCAGAGTAAATTATAAAAAATAGTGTAACTATGGGTGACTATGGGTGAACCTTTGGTATATACAGTTTGAGCAATTTGCCTCTTCGTATTTCCATTCAAAATCTTCAAAATGGTCTAAAAAGAACGAAAATTGGACGTTTTTAGGGCGTGTCCTTAAACTTATGATCGGGAGTGTGCGGTTTTATAAATTTCTCTATTCAACTGAGCAAAAGTACCTCACTCTCTGAGTTAGTCTCGTTGTCCGTGCACACGTAAATACAGGGATTTTTTTTTGTTCTAGACCCATCGATAAACATTTTAAATTAGCCTTAAATGAAAGGGAGACTCTAAATATTAATTTGATGGCAGTTTCAGCGATATTGATCTTTAAAGATAATGTTTTCCATCTGAGATACCTGTTACCACTAATTTATCAGAGGTACACAAGTGGAACGACTCACCCCAATTTATGTATCCATAAATCTTCATGAAAATCCAGAATATATTTGTCTCATGCCACATAAGCTGATGTAAATTGTATTTTTATTTTATGATATCTGATATGCGAGAATTGCCCGCCAAGTTTTGAGTAATTTCTGAACTACTGTTCATGAGCCAAAAGATCTTTATCTCCTTAACAGCTTTGCCAAATACAGTAAATTTCTAGCTGTTCAGGATGTCGAGCGCCAGGTGGTGAGAAAATTCTGTACTGTCAACCAACGAAAAAGTTTTGATCTCCTGGACAACTTTGCCGATGACAGTTTAGCAGGTCTCGAAATACATCTAATGCGAGAATTGCACGTGTATACAAGCGCAATGATGTGAAAAAAAAATTGAATTTCTGCCAACCAGCCAAAAGACCTTGACCTCCTGAACAACTTTGCCGAAGACATCTATTTGGTCAGGATCTCGTGATATTTTATATGTGAAAATTTCACGTGTATACTAGCGCCGCTTAGGAAATTATCAACTATTGTACACCAAGCAATAGGCTTTGACCTCCTGAACAACTTTGTCCAAGACAGTAACTTTCTATCTGGTCAGGATCTCGCAACAAACCACATGTGAGAATTTCACGTGTATTCTAGCGCTACGTAGTGAGAAAATTATGAACTACTGTCCACTAGCGATATATATCTGATCAGAATGTCGAGATATTTTACATGCGAGAATTTCACGTGTATACTAACACCACGTATTGTGAAAATTCCGAATTATTGTGCATCAAGCAATAGGCATTGACATCATGAACAACTTTTTCTAAGACAGTAATTTTCTAGCTGTTCAGAATCTCGAGCTATAGCATACGCGAGAATTTTACACGTTTACTAGCGCCACGTGGTAAGAAAATTCAGGGCTACTGTCCACCAGCCAAAAAGTCTTGACCCCCTGAACAAGTTTGCCGAAAACAGTAACTTTCTATCTGCTCAGGATCTCGAGCTATTGTATATGCGAGAATTGCATGTGTGTACTACCACCAAGTATTGAGAAAATTCTGAACAACTGTCCACCAACGAAAAGATCTTGACTTCCTGAACAACTTTGCCAAAGACATTTACTCTTTATCTGGTCAGGATCTAGTTATGTATCACATGCGAGAACTTAACATGTATACGAGCACTACCTAGTGAGAAGATTCTGAGCTACTGTTAACCAGCAAAAAGGCTATGATCTCCTGAACAGCTTTGCCTAAGACAGTAACTTTCTATCAACTCAGGATCTTGAGCAATTGTATATGCGAAAATTTCACGTTTATACTAGGGCCACGTAGTGAGAATTTTCTGAACTACTCCACCAACGAAAAGATCTTGACTTCCTGAAAAACTTTGCCGAAGACAGTAACTTTTTATCTGGTAAGGATCTAGAGATATATGTATATATATATATATGCGAGAATTTTACATGTATACTAGCGCCACCTATTGAGAAAATTTTGAACTTTTGTGCACCAAGAAATAGGCTTTGATCTCATCAACAACTTTGTCGACGACAGTAACTTTCTATCTGGTCATGATCTCGAGATATATCACATGCGATAATTTCACATGTATTCTAGCTCTACGTAGTGAGAAAATTTTGAACTACTCTGCACCAGCAAAAGTTATGATCTCTAGAACAACTTTGCCGAAGACAGCAACTTTCTATCTGGTCAGGATCTCGAGATTTTCCATGTTGTAACCAATTAAGTCAAATCCCACGCAGTACGGACACCGTTTACGCGGTTTCCATTCATATTTTCTCTATTAACCGCATTTTTTGGGGGTTAATTGTGATAAAAGTTTAGCTTTTTTTAGTTAAAAACAAGTTTTTAAAGGAATACCCGTTGGTTTCATATCGATTGGTAGCTCGGCTGCAAAATGGCAATGGAAAACTCACACTGTTGTACAAAGTACAACGCGCGAGTACTCGTGTTACAAAAGTTGGCGCGAGTAACGGAGGGTTAAAGTCTATGAGTATACTTGTAGGCAGAGTAAATTTTCTGTCGGTTGTAGTCAGATCTGAGCAGTGTTTCAAGAAAATCGAAGAAAATTGTACTCACTAAGTGAGTAACCCCACTTTCTATGATTTTAAGTGAAATGTTGCGGACTTCATCAAAGTTGTTCAGATGGATTGGATGGTGAAAATCGCAGTTACTTACTTGCTCTAACTTGGAAGCTCAACTAGATAGAAGGTAACTGTTTTTGACAAATTTATTCAGATTTTTAAAAGCAATTGGATGGTGCACATTTTGGATCAGAATTCTGTCACCAGAAGTGTAAGGTGTCTTTGAAATAATAATTCTTTTAGTTGAAATTTTGATAACCTTTCCTTATTCTTCATAGACTGTCGCCGGTAGATGATGTTCTTATGACATGCTCCATCAACTGTACTTGGTGCGTAGAATAGGGCTACACATCAAGGCTACTATGTCAGAAGTGCAAGATGCAGTGTTGCCGTTAATGCAGTCGATTAATTGTCTCAGAAAGTAATCGGTTTCAAAATCAATTAATCACCCTTATTCTTGTTTTCGTACGAACCGTACTTTCCATACAAAAACAATTTTTTTTGTATGGAAAATAAGATTCTATTGAAACCAAGAATAAGGGTAAATAACTGATTACCTTCACGCAATCTATTAAAAAAATCTATTACAATGAATGTTAGTTCCATTTCCTATCATCCTCTGTTCATGAACATCGCAGCGAATGTTATAAGTTGACCTTGCAGGCGATGTAATGGTTTTTTGCCTTTTTTATTTCGTGTTCTGTCTGTGCTTTCACCCACACAAGCAAGCATTTGCCTTGACTTTTATGTATAACATGGTAGAACGACGCACACCCTTGCCTCGAATCTCTCCAGCAGAAAAAGCATACGAAGTCGAGTGTGAGAGGAAATGAGCGCTTCTTGTTTGCTTTTAGGCTATCCTTATTCAGAAGCATGGAGAGAGCAGTGGAGAAAGCACAGGTCTGATAATTGCAACGTTCGTTGTTCGAGTCCAGTCGGCAACCTTCTTCCTATTTTATTTTCGACATAATTAATTTACCTCACTAATACACTCTAAATTTTTCGGTCTCCAATTTTCTTGCATTGGACCGCAGCTAGGTATATCGCATCCTCGGTTCATGCGGTCTCCACTTACATCCTCTGAAGATGAATCCCACATAATTGTAAGCGAATCTTACATCCACCGGTTGGGTGTTGAAGTCAAATCGAAAAGGGGTCTTGAGCAAAGTTGCAGCTGATAAAATTTACCACTAGAGCAGATAGCAAACTATCCTGTAGATCAGTACAGCGAAGGCCTAGGATGTTGAGAACAAAGAGTTCACTTTAGTAATTCTCATATAAACTTCAAAGGGCCAGTCAGTATGAGTTCGCATCCAAATGAGCAAACATTTCGAGAACCTGATTGAGAATCGATTGAGCTTGGTGGAGAAAAATCAATATTTTGATCAACCCTAATATAGTATCATTGCTACACTCGTACATTGGTTGGCATAGAAAGCTCTCAATTAATAATTGTGGAAAAGCGTCTAAACCATGAGAAATAGGAAAAAAAAAAGGCAAAAGCAATGTGTTGCCAAAAGCGGACACTTACTGCGAATTAAGTGACCGACTAAAGAGTAACCAAGACAATTAAAAGTTACCGGCTGACACTTGAAAGTGAAGACAACGAAAGTTCAAGACCTCGAAGTTGTTTCGTACGTCTTGGAGGAATTCATGGAATTCCTATATATTTTTATGGAAATCCTCCAAAAATCAAATAAACAAACAATCAGAATAGTGATAATCGTTATTTGTTCCGCTTTGATACAGATTTCGTCCAAATGCGAGGCACTCGCATGCATCGCACATCACGATGAATTCAGTCACACTTTGAACGTGATTTCCTTAGCCACCGTCATTAACCTCACGAGCACGTTCGCCGCGGCACAACAAAAACGCTCCCCCCCACTCACAGACGCCACCAACATCACACTTCTCTAAACCAATTCACTTCTTTTTGCAAGCATCGGCCATCCGCCGCCGAAGGAAGAAACTGGCGCCACTGCTGAGTACTACTGCTGCCTTAAAAATCACCGACTTGCATTCCTAATCCACGACATCCCAGATTTATCAACTTCACCCAGAAGAATTGACCACTCACATCGAATAACAAACAGAATAATTCGCGAGTCTGCCGCGGAGAACTGTCAAATCGATCCATTTTTGTTGTCAGCGTTTTCCCGGATGAAAAACCATGGCACGGAACGAGCGAGGGCGTGGGGGGAAACACGCGTAAATCTAGCACCAGCCTCGGTTTCGTAGGAGGTTTTTTTCCGTGGGATAGGTCCGAACTCGGATCATCACGAGGAAGTACTGAGCGCTGGAATGTGCCATCCTGTCGTATTTTATATCAGCAATGCAAAAGACCCCCATGTGTGTGAGAGGGAGAGCGAATCGCGTCCGCTCTCTGTCTCCTTCGTGGGTTGAGCTTTTGATCTTTATTGGCCTTCTTGTTGGTGCACGCTTGACGAGCGAGCACGGAAGGAGCTTTTCGCACCCAACCGGAAAGGGAATAGCGTGCCGAAGCAAAACAAAAACAAGCAATTTTATCAATGAAAGCTCCGTCGGTGAGTCTCGGGTACGGCGATCGGCTTTTCCCGGAGTCGAAGATTGTTCTGTTGCATAATCGGAATTGTCGTCTCGCTGGGGGTGGTGGACGAAGAGGAAGCGAGGATGCAGATGTAGATACGTTTGTCTCAGGAGAATGTTGTTTGCTTGAATTGGTGGCACGAATACTAGTGAACTTTTCGATTGCATAATGTTTATGCAAGGATAATTACTTATGTAGTAGACAGGCGGTGCTTGGTTCTGGTGAGCTTTTTATGACAAAATATGTTTGTCATTTTTTTTTATTTGGTGGTTCGAGTTAACAATAGAATTGGAAAAGCAAGTGAAATATGTTAGCTGAGAATTTGACCCAGTGTCTCCATAATTTATTTAAGATTCATCTAGTCTTTTCACGTTACGGTGATAATATATAATAAGGGATTATGGTGCAACAGGGTTAGATGAAGTTGGTAAACAAAATCTTTTGCTTTTTGGAATAAACCCAACGCAAAGTTAATTTAATAATTTTGATATTGTAAAGACGAACTAGTTGATGGTAATATTCTTGTGCCGGCGGAAGGGTCTGCAAAGGCAAGTCTATAGATCTTCTAGGGCAAGTTCAAAGCATTTTAGGGGTAAATCATAACGAATGGCGTAAACAGTTGTTTCGAAAGTGACTACAACAGCTAAGGATTATCATCTCCAGTTGATATGATGGCATAATTAGAAAAGGAAATTCGTTCATCATACGATATCAGGGCAGATAGCAGTGAATTAGTGCCCAAAAGCATTTGAAAACTGACTAAAATGTGACCAAAATGTGATTTAAAAATTATCATCAAACTTTCGGAAATAGAATCATGAAAATTGATTTGTCATTCATCCAAAAAAGGCATGTATCGATTTCCTATCTGTACGCATTCATCAAAAGTTTGTTTTGCAAAATCTTGCATAACTATATTAACAACTAACAGCACTGTGCAATTTGAAATTCTTATGAATTAAATTCTAGAATAAATGAAATATGTGTTATAAGATCTCTCGCTAGGATTGTCTTGCAGGGTGTCTACTCAATCCAAGGAATCAAATTCCCTGAGTTTTCCAGGTTTTTCTAGGTTGGATGAAAAAAAATTCCAGGTGCATACAAATTATACACATTATTATTTTATCTATTGATCCATCTAGAATCCCTTTTATGTACTTATTGATTTATGTTATTTTCGATTGTTCAAACTTGGGCGTTGGTACTTATAAGTTGGCACAGCAAAAACAGTTATTGAATATTACAGCAGAACAGATGCACATAGGTTGTTTAATATTAATTTGTACAATTTATGTTTAGTAAATGCACCAATAGTGGAGGTACTTTAGTTGTACTAACGTAATGTACTTCTATAGCGGCTTAGGGAGACTCTATAAGCCACCATAGGAACACATTGCACTAAAGTACCTCCACTATTGGTGCATTTATTCTACACATAATTTGCGAAAAGAAATTATATCCAACGGTGTAATATTATATTTGGTTTTTGCAATCACATAAGTTATTCATACAGTAGCATGCATTACGTCAATCAATACTAAATTCTTTTTTGGTATTTGTGTAGTATTTTTTTTAATTCAAGCATATAAATACAAGTAAGAAACCTATCTATACTATTTTGATAAAACGATATATCAAAATTTGATAACAATATGCTTTCAAAAACAACATATCATTTTGATAATAAAGGGTTATACGGTCAAAATTTGGTCAATATCAACTTGACGTATTTCTTTCAATTTTGCATTTAAAAAACCTGAACACCCCTCATTTTGAAGGTGTGTGTGTGTAGAATGTTGCTCCTATTTTGATTTTGGAATTCACTCTTCAGTTGTCAAAATGCCGTCCAAGCAAGAAGAGCAGCGTATCAAAATTTTGCTCGCGCATCGCGAAAATCCGAGCTACTCGCACGCAAAGTTGGCAAAATCGCTAAAAGTTGCCAAATCAACCGTTACAAATGTAATTAAAGTGTTTGGGGAACGTTTGTCGACAGCCAGGAAGTCTGGATCGGGGGGAAATCGAAAACCGGAAGCCGCTGAGACAACAAAGAGAGTTGCCGGTAGTTTCAAGCGAAACCCTAACCTCTCTCTCCGAGATGCCGCAAATAAGCTGGGTGTATCGTCTACAACCGTGCATCGAGCCAAAAAACGAGCCGGACTATCGACTTACAAGAATCGCGATGATAAACAAAATACGACGGCCAAAGCGCGATCCCGGAGGCTGTACACGACGATGCTGACGAAGTTTGACTGCGTGGTAATGGACGACGAAACCTACGTCAAAGCCGACTACAAGCAGCTTCCGGGACAGGAGTTTTATACGGCAAAAGGAAGGGGAAAGGTAGCAGATGTTTTCAAGCACATGAAACTGTCAAAGTTCGCAAAGAAATATCTGGTTTGGCAAGCCATCTGTACCTGTGGCTTGAAAAGCAGCATTTTCATAGCTTCCGGGACTGTCAACCAAGAAATTTACGTGTAAGAGTGTTTGAATAAACGTCTGCTGCCTTTCCTGAAGAAACACGGTTGTTCCGTACTGTTTTGGCCGGATTTGGCATCTTGCCATTACGGTAAAAAGGCCATGGAGTGGTACGCCGCCAACAACGTGCAGGTGGTTCCCAAGGACAAGAACCCTCCCAACACGCCAGAGCTCCGCCCAATTGAGAAATACTGGGCTATTGTCAAGCGGAACCTAAAGAAGACCAAAAAAACTGCTAAGGGCGAGCAGCAGTTCAAGGCAAACTGGCTTTCTGCGGTGAAGAAGGTGGACAAGCTGGCTGTACAAAATCTGATGGCAGGGGTCAAGCGTAAGGCCCGGCAATTCGGATTTGGAAAAGCGGAAGCCTAACTGAATATTTTTCCTGAATTTTATACTAATTGAACTTGAAAAAGAAATTTAATTTGATTTTTTAAATAAACGATTTCACCGATTTACACGCGTTTTCCCTTGACCAGATTTTGACCGTATCACCCTTTATGTTTGAGTTCAACTCTGTTTGGAAGATCAGTACAGAATAAATCATGGTTTCACATGTCTAAAATCTCTTAAGGTCCGTTTAGACTATCTGATTTCTTGGTCTGACTTTGACCGCCGCTATAATGAAAAATCTGCTCGAATTTACTTTCGACACACTTTGTCGAACCCCCCTGTTTGCTGGTGTTCACACTGCTTGCACATGTCGAAAGAACTGCCAATTTAGATTTCAAAACAAAACTGTATCAGGAATCAAAAGTAAATACTTCCATCGTGAATTACCGGAAAATTGCTCTAGTTTTGGCAGACGTATTTGCTTTTATTATTTTAAATAAAATGAGGAAGAGAAGGTGAGCTTTGTGGAGTAGGAAATGGTTGCTCAGGAGGAACACCGGCAAGGATCTGGCTCATCTTGTCCATCAAGAGTTGCGATATGAAGATGAAAATGGATTTCAAAACTTCGCCAGGATGTCGATACCAACTTTAGACAAGCTAGCGGGAAAAGTTCTCACTAGATATACAAGATTCCTTGACTTTTGAAAATTTCTGTTAACAACTCAATTCTGCAAGGTCTTCAAACCTTCTGACGTCCCTGAAGTTTTGTTCCTGTTCTCCGGTAAAATTTCTTTAAAGATCAACAATCTTTCCTTTCCTTTCCAACAAACTTCTTGACAGTTCTGTAATTTTCTCTGCAGATTTTCATGATTCAATGAATATCTGCAAATATCTCTGAACATCTATACAATTTTCTAAAGAATTAAAAGAAATTTTTGAAGTTTTAGGAAGTATTCTGAAGTTTTTCTAATTTTTCTGAAGCTGTGCAAATATCTCTAAGATCAGCGAACTTACCTGAAGTTCTGTAAATGTCTTTAAAAATCCAAGAACCGCAGTAAAATTCTGAAAATTTATTTAAACATCTGTTAATTTTTGAGTAGATTTACGATCCACCCTCTGAACTTTTCTGAAGTTCCTTAAATTTATTTCAAATTCGGTAAAGTTTTCTGAAGTACTGTATTTCTGCTCTAAAGATCTACAAACTGCCCTGAAGTTCAATAAATTTCACAGTAGATCTCCGAACTTTTCTAAAGTTCTTTAAATTTCTTTGTGGATTCTTGATCTAAAGATCGGCGAACTTTCCCGAAGATCTGTGAGTTTTGCTGAAGTTTTGCAAATTTTTCTAAAAACGTTCGAACTTTCTGACGTTCTACAGACTTCTCTGAAGTTCTTTAGATCTATCTAATTCCGACTTCCATGGAGTTCTGCAAAATATTGTACTTTTGTACTTCGCTGCGATTTGTTTTTGGAATTGAGGTGCTTTTCTGACATTTAACGAATTTTTCTAAAGATCTCACATTTGTGTGAAACTGTGAAACTTTCTGTTAAATTCCTGCAAATATCTTTAAAGTTCTGTAAAGTTGTCTTAAGCTCCGTAGCTCTATTCCCAAGATCTACAAAAAAAAACTTAAGGCTCAATAAATTTCTCAGTAGATCTGCAATCTTCTCTGATGTTTTGTAAATTTCCTTGAAGACTACCTAAAGTTGTCAAAATTTATCTGAAAATATTTGAGCTTCTTTGAAGTTTTAAATTTCTCTCTCAAGATCTACCAAATTTTCCTGAAATCGTGTAAATATTTTTTTTTAATCGCCGAACTTCTCTGAAGTTCTGCAATTTTTACTGAAGATCCATTAACATTTCTGAGATTCTTGTGATATTTTCAGAAGTCCTGTAATTTTTTTCAAAGTTCTGTAGCTTTGTTCTGAAGATCTACGAACTTTTCTGATGTTGAATAATGTTTCGAAGATCTCCAAACTTCTCTGAAATACTTTATATTTCACTGTAGATTCTTGGACTTGTCTGAAGTTATGCGAATTTCCCTGAATATTTGCAAAATTTCGCTTATAGTTTTACAAATTGATTTGAAATTATTTTTGCTTGCTTGAAGTTTTGAAGATTTCTTTGAACATTTATCTGAAGATCTACGACCTCTCTTGTGATTTTGTCTTTATGAATTTCTGTTAATAACTTTTAATTTGTTTGTAGTTCTGTTCTCAAGATCTACGAACTACCCTGAAGCTCAACAAATTTCTCAGTAGATCTCCGACCATCTCTGAAGCTCATACAAAAAAAAAAATCTATGTAGGCTCTCAGACCTGCTGTCTCGCATGCTTATTCTTATACAATACATGCTTCGTATGCTTCCTTTTGACGGTTGCCAGTCTCTCTTTTTCGGATGTTTCCTTTTTACGACGATTTTGATCCTCCACATACAAATCAGCGAAGAGCGAGCGAGACAAGACCCTCTGCATGAACTTGTCTCGTTCGCACACGTTGTCTTAGCTGTCAGATGCTTGTAAAGTTCAGTGTCCTTAAGAAACGTTTCGAGAAATTAAACGAAAAACTTCTTTTGAATTACGAATGAAGTGATAATTGGAAAATTCCCTGAGTGGAACCAAAATTCCCTGAATATTCCAGGTTTTTCCAGAAAAAATAAAATTCCCTGTATATTCCCGGTTTTCCAGGTTTTTTTCAGGTAGTAGACATCCTGATTAAGTAAATTTCCCTGACATGATTTCCAGTGTGGTGCGACCATCTTTCTTACACTCGAAAAATTCCACACGTCATCATAATGTGTCTCACACCTAATTGAGCACTTATTGTGGAACACATCCATTTCATGTGTGAATCTTATGCTATGAACCATATCTCAACACTACTGGTTCGAATTGTCACACACTTGGAGTCTATGTGCCTCACATGGTGATATCAATATGCACATTGTGGTGTGCTGCTGCCGTGGTCTTCGTTAGATCTCACTGGGCCACGGTTCTTCTCATATATGAGGCTGGTTGATAAGGATGAAGTCAAAACTCATGTTTTAGATGTTTACCTTGCAGAACAAGAAAATCATATCGCATTAAAATGCAAAACACTTAAAATTCATCTGTTTTTAACAGTAGTGCAATACACTTGAATTGATAGAGAAAGATTATCAACATTTCTAAGTTTGAAACACTAGAAATCAACGTGTAGAACACGCGGTGAAATACACTTAAAATAAATGTGCCTGACAGAATTGGTTGATATTGATGTTGCTTCTCGCAGCCATTGAATCAGAAAAGTTTCGTAAAATGATCTATTTTCATAACACGAATCATATTAGTGCGTTCCGATCTACAAATTTATCACTAACCTGTAGCTGAACCGGTGAGCTGTTTGATGGGCTGCTTGAACAGCGTAACCGGTGTCTTGATCGGCGATGTTGAAGCATTATTAACGTCCTTCTCTATTTTTGGAATCTGTAATCCACTTTTCCCTTCCATTTTTGCGACAAACTTTGCAGATCTGAAAAAAAAAGAAAAAATTATAATATAATATAATAGTTGTGTCTAAACTGATTTATATTTTGCAAAAATTCTAATGACAAGAATCCAACGCAAAAATAGCCAATATCCCCTATTCCTCCACACTGCTCACGAGTTCCACATTTGTCTCTCAATGTTAACCAACAAAGAGTATAATTCTCTCTGTTTTGCTCATTTCCACTCTCTTTATAAGATGCGTCGTGCGGCATATTCTCTTGCACGCGTCAAAATATTGTGTCGCCAGCTGTACATTTTCTTGCTCTGTTTAATGTTGACAACTGATCTAGCTGTCACTCCCGGCAGTGTCATCCAAAACATTAAATTAAATTCGTTAAAAACAAACACACTTCATTCGGAATATCCCAAAATTATTGATGTTTATGCTCCCTCGTCGCCACTTTGCGTCCTACTCACCAACAGAACAAAATCAGTGATAATTCAAAACACACACACAGCAAACCACCAATCAGTTGTTGAATCACGACGACCGCTGTCAAGCGACTACTGAGCGCTTCTTGCAAATATGTATGCAATAGGAGTAAACAACCGACAGCAGACAGTCAGAGTTAAACGTGATATAGATATTGTGCGCCTCGCTAATCGTCGCCGTGTCGTCGTCGAATCCGGACGCAGTTCGTAAAGAGTTTCAGAATCGAGAAATTCGCGCACGGTTCTAGTGATTGTGTGTGTGTGTGTGTGTATGTGGGGGATTAGTGGTCGTGCACTCATCGTGATTAACAATCTGGAGTATTTCCTGATCGCTCGTGACGGTTCGTGAAACAACAACAACAAGGCAGAAGAAACTAGTAGGTGTGTAAAAGCAACTGCATGCATTCGGATCGAAAGAAATTCTTTGTTATTAAGTGGTTGCTAAAAATAGTCATCGAAAGAGTCGAGTATTTGAAATATTGAAGTGAGCTAATTCTTGACGGTGCGATGGTGTAATTGGATGGTTTGGGGAGGTGGCTTTATAAAACAATTTAACTGCGCATGGAGTCATGCGAAATTGCCTTCGGTCGCGCTTGACTGTCCCCATAAAGTGATATAGGGTTAAGATCTAATTTCCGTCACACTAAGCACAACCCTCACTTTACTTCTCTTTTTCGAACGGGTTTGAACGAAACATGGACTGTTTCTATCATAGATAACTTCTAAATTTATAACCCTTCCCATACGTATCGTTAGATTTGACAAAGAGTCACAAATTGTTGAGATATTGTTAAAAATCTAACACTACTTCTTGATTCCAATTCCGTCCAAACACATTCAACCGTCATTGGATTCACTTCGGCATACGGATGAAGGCAGAAACGCTTTATATGTTTTTGGAAAAAAATGGATGTAAATATTCATATTATGCGTTCTTATAGATTGTTTTGTAGTTTTTTAACTAAAATATCGAGCCATGATGTTTCTGCTCGATATGACGGTAATGGGCGCTTATGCCGAAGTAGTCCTCCGCCCTACTAACCAGAAGTATAAAGGGAAAAAACGGGCTTGAAAGCTTGCGGAAGAAGAAGACAGTCATGTATGACTTGAGGGAAGGCGAGTGGCTTAGAGAAGATAACGTTAGCGAAGCGACGCGATAGAGCGAAGAATATCCAACGAGCAGGTCAGAAGTATAGCAGATTTATGCTAAATAATTCACGATTTTCAACACAACTTGTTGATTCGGAAACTGAAATGAAGATTTTTGTGTGGAATTCAATGTAATGATGATAGGGAATATGTGTTAAATTTTTTGGTGTAGGTCGATGGTCTTTGGATCAAGAAGATTCTGATGTGCGTAGAAATAAATGACTCAACCGGTTGATGAAGATGGGTTCATAAAAGTTTTATTTACATAAATGTTCTAGTCATCACTTATAGCTTGTCGTGTGAAACCCATTAATGGGGTCATAGTCGAGAAAATATGACATCATGCACATTTGTTTAGTAGAATGACCATTGCAAAGGAGACGTTAAGTCGTATATGATATACGAAACGATAAAAACGCGGTGGTGCTAAGTTCAGTTATCATTTCATACGAATATCAACACAAAACAAAGTAATAAATATTGAAGTAAATCAAAGCTAAAAAGTACATCTAGCCTACTATTTAATTGTTTAGAAAACCTTACGTGTGTCCAGGCATGGAATTTTCCGTAACTGATGATAAACCACGCAGCTCTTCTTGGTTGGAGCTTATCTTCGTGAAAATCAACCAATACAATACGATTCAGCATACAACACAATCATATCGATCCGAACTCATGTGGTGTCACACTTTGACAACGTCACCGTCGCGTCGTTCTGTTTTGATATTTGCTGTCGTTTCGTACATCAATGAAAGACGAAAACCGGCTCCTACACAGATACTCTTTTCGCTGTTCATAATAACTTCAGAATCGCGTCAACCGGTGAGGTGCCGAAACCAAAAGCCGGTTGATGATGACTGTAACACGACGGACGCGTTGATTAGTGAATTAATATTTATGAAGCGAAATGTCTCCACTTGCTGCACACCTATATCTATGTATGTATACTAGAATACACACAAATGAAGGTTCCTGTTCGTCTGCATTTGTTAGGTAGTGATGATATACAAATTCATTGATTATAGGAGCTCAAAGTCCTAACCAGCCGCTATCTAAACATTAGGCTCCGCAGTCGTCATCATGACTATACATTTAAAGTGATTCCTTGAAGAGTTCAAAATGGCCGTCATGAATGATATGTCCTATCACTGCAATATTTCTAGAGCACAAATCTCGGCCACGTTTGCGTCATCGATCTTGAAGTTTGAACTCCCTGCTCGCTGCACTGCCTATAATCGCATATCAGTTCCATATGCATTTTCGTCAATTTTAAGATAACACCGTTATCCACTTTCAATTGACACCTACTTTCATATCGCGTGATAAAACTACGGACTTTGATTATGAAAAATGTGAAAACAACATCAAGTCAGTTTGTCCCATTACGCAAGGTAATCGCATTTCAGTCCCGTGCTGAAATTCGATCGTTCAGAGGTCAAATTACCGTTCTGCTTTATGGATCGCCATATTTTTCGCTGATATACCAAAACATGCAAGCTTCGTTGTAAATAATTTACTATGATTTTTCAAATATTTACATGTGAATTGCACTTCTCAGTGCCTACTTTTTTCCATATGGGACTGATATGGGATTATAGGCGGTGCAGTAAACGTGAAGTTTCAGTTGCATTGTTGTACATTTAGAGTAGATAGTAAGATCATTATAAATATGGTTTCCACAGCGATTCACCTTAACAAGTAGCAGCGCTAAAAATAGACATACGATCTGCCCTACGGACTTTTCCGGGCAGTTTTTTTTTATGTTTAGGAAAACAATTGCTTTGCTAAATTAAATGCCTACTTTCGATTGCATAAGCGCTTTGTTCACTTTTCCTGAAGAGCTATGGAAGCTAGCGGTGAATGAGGAACTCATAGAATAGGTTTTAGTTACAGTAAAGGACAAAAGTATAGTTAACCTGTGGATTTTCTAACGCGGTTTTTTATGGCGCAGCCGGATTAGCGAGTTACAACCCGAAAGTAGGGACACGATTTTTTTTCGGGTGATTGGGGAATACTATAATTACAAAACACAAAATCAGAGCTTAAACTTGTAACGAACAACCAAATTGTAAGTCCACAAAGCATATAAAATAAACATCTTTTAGGCCGGAACAAATATCAAGTTTTTCTTTTGTCACCCCCCCCCCCCTTCAAAATTTTGGAATATCACCAAGGGGGAAATAAAATAAAACTTTCAGTGTATATTTATTTTTCGCAAATTCATTCGGGTATGGATACTCGCTTTGCTAGATATTATTATGTTGTTGTTGTTGTTGTTGTTGTTGTTGTTGTTGTCACCTTGTTATTTTAAAGAATTTTCACATAAATTGAAACTTGACCAGTACGGCATGACACGTCCTTGAAATCGGATCAGCCGGTTTCAGTTGTTGAAAACGGATTTTATCGAATATCATTCCTAATCTTGTTTGGCAACTCACTAGGTAAGCCACCTTCTATCTTCCTTCTTGTTCGTTGCGCACATCTTCGTCTTGTCCCAGTCGGATCACTACAAAGAACCATTTTCAGTGGGTCGTTATCGGACATTATTACAATGTGCCCAGCCCACCGTAGTCGCCAAATTTTTGCATTAGATCTACATTTCTTAACTTACAAACCTTCTGCAATGATACTTAATGATTCACGTCTTTTCTACAGTGATTCAACAATTTCCGAGCTAAATCCAATCTTTTCAAAATTTGTTTAAAATTTTTAGAAGTTAGACCACATCAGAAACGTTTCAGGAAATTCCTAACTGAGGTGGCACTTTTCAAACCAGATTCAAAACTGACTCTGAACTTTTTTGAAGTGAGTTCAAACTTTCGAATAAGTCATCAATATTTTTCTAACTTAGTCTAAACTTTTCTGTTATGTTATTCAATCCTTTTTAAAGTTGTCAAAACTTTCCTGACGTGATTCAACATATTCCAAATCCAATCTTTAAAGAGTTGGTTTCGCATTTTCTAAAGTGAGACAACATTAGCTGATTAATCCTTTTCCTAAATGAATCCAAGCTTTCCTGCATTGATTCAAGTTTTTCCGAACTGAAACCAAACTAGTGATATTTTCCTAAGTGAGTTCCAGATTTTTGTTAACTGCTTTGGCATTTGGCAAGGACACAATCTTGCTTAGTGAAAGTGTAGAAAGTTTTCCGAAGTGAACCGACAATTTTTTGAGCTTAAATTTTCCAAATGGTGTCCAACCTTTTCTGAAGTGGTTCAAAACCTTCCTTAGGGAGTCCAAACTTTTCCGTTGAGTGACTGAATTATAATGAATGTTAGTCTGAGCTTTCCTAAAATGATTTACATAACTTTTGACGTAGATTCCGCTCCCTTAGATCCCTTCCTCGTTCTTGTGAGATTCACATCGTTTGAAAATTAGACTGAGATTTTAAAGAATGGACCTGCGTGTGTTCATACCTGATGGTAGATTTTTTTTTTTAAAGCAAGCACAATTGTTGAGAAATCTGGGTTTACATCCACAAAAGTACGTATTTTTATAGAAATTTGGGTTTCTTGACCAGCCAAGTTGGATTTTGGCTCCGCCCTTTGAAAAACCACCAACTTTTTTTTTTGGAGCTGGTGCTAGCGTTTTCGTCGTTGCTTTCAACGTTTGAAGTGTGATGATCCTCGGTTTTATTGTCGGTGTTTCGCTGTTGTTCTTCTTCTGAGAACCCGGTGAAAGCAGGAGATTTTGTTGTTTATTAATTTATTTGATAAGGCTCAATCGAACTAACTTTATAGAGCCGAGGATTCTTGGTCACTATACAATACATCTTAAAACTATAGTCGCATTCGTAAAACTCGAACACCGCTCAGGAATCCTGGGAAGTAGTGCTTCCATTTCTCATGTTGACTGGAAATCACTGTCCCGTACTTTTCCATGTGGTTCATAACAGTGGTTTGTGGCCATGCCAGAGGAAGGTCATGCACTCGAACGGTCACTGCTTCACAATCCACATATACCGGGATTTTGAACTCACTCTTTCTTTCTTTTGCATACGCCATGCAAAAACGTGGTAAGGTTGATCCTTGTTGATCGAAAAGCCAAAGGAGGAGCTACACACAATCATAACAATTTGTTTCGACCACTATGGCTAAGGTCCCAGGGTGGGACCCCCAGCTATATGTATCAAAGTTAAGCACTATTTACTAACGAAAATAATCATTAATATGCATCAACTGGATATTTCATGCTGTAATCATAAGTTGACTCACTAAAAGCACAGTTAACAA